TGTAATGTGTCAAACATTTTTTTGAAACATATATATATATACTGTAAATGTTATATTGAAAGTACATTATAATTGCCAGAAACACAAACTATAAAAATGTTTATTAAATTTTAACTTAAAGATAATAATAATGTATTTTCTTTATAAATGCACTGAAACTTTCATTTAAAAATTTTAAAAAAACTTAAATAATTTCAATTTATTATTATTTTTATTTCAAATATAAAAAAATAAAATTAAATGAACTGTTTATTACCAAATTGAATCCAAATTGAAATTTTCACAGAAATTAAAAAATCATTAATTTTTTATATATATATATATATATTTTATTTTTATTTTTCAAGTATTTTCAAACTATTAATTGTTTGCAATTAATGATATTTATGCGGTAATTAAAAGTAAAAAATTTTTTTTCGGTGGGTTTCGTGAGAGAGAGAGAGAGAGAGAGATTGCGGTTTTATCGCACACTTTATGTACAGTATGTATGTGTGGACAGGGATGTCATACCCCTCCCATACGCATAGGCCATACATACATACAGTGCGATGACATCAATGAGAGATATTTTCATTGAACACACAAAAAGTACATTAACTGCAAGTTTTTTGTTTTATATATATATATATTACAGTATTATATAATAGACGACAAAACTTTTATGATTTTTGTTAAAGGATTTTATATATATACAGTAATGTATATGAGTTAGACATTTAACCAAAAAAAAAATAGTTTAAAAACTTTTATGATGAAAGAGAGAGAGAGAGAGAGAGAGAGAGAGAGAGAGAGAGAGAGAGAGAGAGAGAGAGAGTTTATATAACATTATATGACTGGTCTAATGCCAAAACAATTTATTGTATATCCCATACAATACATTGGATTTTTTTTTTATTGTGTGGCGACAAATAAATTATTTTTTTTTGAAAAAAAACAACTAAACTATGGTTACACTCATAAACCGATAGTTATTATTATTATTATTATTATTATTATTATTATTATTATTATTATTATTATTATTATTATTATTATTATTATTATTATTACAGTATTATTTCACACACACAATGTTAGAGGTTAAAACAAAACTGATTTACTATAAAATACTATAAAGTACTGAATAGTAATACTGTATATATACTGTATATATATATATATATTACACTATTATGTTGTTTATTATAAATCAAAAAATTTTTATCAAAAAAAAAAATAAAGTTCAAAAACTGGGAGTGAAAATAAAGATCTTTTTTTGTTGTTTTTATTTATTTATTTTTTTTGTTGATTTTTATTTTTACGGTTTTTTTAGATTAATAATATACGAGTATTTAGTTTCACTAAATGATTATTTTTGTTAGTTTTTTTTGTTTGTTGTAGTTTTCTAGTGTGAAAATTACTACTGTTTTTATTTTTATGATTTTTTTGTAAATATAAAAATATGATTTTAAATGAAAAATTGTTTGCCTCTCTCTCTCTCTCTCTCTCTCTCTCTCTCTCTCTCTCTCTCTCTCTCTCTCTCTCTCTCTCTCTTTCTCTCTCTCTCTACTAGTCGTCTATCAAACAAATAAATAAAACACACAAAAAATATACAGTATTTTTGTCAACAATTTTTTTTTTTGATATGACATTTAATTTTTTTATTATTATTATATATCATATATGATATGAGATTTACAAGTTATACACAAACAATATACAGTATAAAACAAAAATGTTTTTATATATTTGATAGTTATTTATAGTCAACACTTGTTTATAGTTTTTTTTTTAAATTATTATTTATTTTATTTTTGATTGATATCTATAATCTGTAGATTTGTTGAGAGAAAAAAAATACTAATAATTATTAGTATTTTTCGGATTTTTTTTTTGCTTAAAATAAATAATCATAAGAAAAAAACAAATATTGTTTTAACAATTTTTTTATCTATATATATATATAACAAATTGAAACTAAATGTTGAAATATTTTTTTTATATATTATATATGTTTATAAAATACAAATAATAATAATAGTTAAGCAATATTACTGTTTAAATAATTTATTTATTTATATATATAATTTTAAATAAACAATATTTATTTATTTTTTATGGTATATATAAATGTGTGAAAATGTGTCTATAATTTTATATTTAAAGTCAAATTATTATTGGTATATAAATAATACACATATTATACAAGCAGTTATATGCATATTATAGCATAAAAATTATTATTATTTTTTACACTATTATTAATAATAATAATAAAAAAAACTATTAGCAAACAAAAAATATTTCACACCATAATTATATATAAATATATGTTTAAAATATAACATATAAACAGTAACTGTATTTTTTATTTAAAAAAATGTTATCATGGTAATTTATCAAAAAAAACAAACAATCAAACAATAAATAAATAAAAAAAAACAATAAGTCATTAGTATTTTTTATGTGTGAAATATGATATAATTTTAGACAATAATAATAGTTGTAATAATAATAATAATAAATTTACTATTAATATACTAGTATTAAACAAATAATAATAAAAAATATGATAATACTGTAATAGTTTTAAATTTAATTTATTATTATCTATATACAGTATATATATATATACTGTATATATAAATCATAATATTATTATTTTTTATTATTATCAATATTACTACTACTACTACTACTACTACTACTAATGTTAATACATTAAACATGTATGTTTGTCAGGGCACCGGTAGGTCATATAAAGTGTCATGACTTATACATATAATATGCAATATACTGTATTTGATGGAAAAGTTATGATAGATATCATATACAGTATATATACAGTGTATATACAGTATAGTTAGGGAATGGGTTGTGAAACGTGGGGGAGAGGTATGACTGGACTGATGCCAAATAGGAAGTCTATCTCTCTCTCTCTCTCTCTCTCTCTCTCTCCTAAAAAAAACATAACATTTTGTAAAAAAAATTTTGTTGAATGTTTGAAAATTTATTTTCTCTTATAAAATGTATTTTCTAGTATTTAACAAAAAAAACTATTATTATTATTATTACTGTTTATTATTGAAATAAAAATATACTTCAACTCATAATAATAATAATAATAATACTTTTTTTTAAAAAAAATAATAATAATTTCTAAACACTTGATCTCATATTGTATTTTTTGACGTTAAGCACTGATTTTATTATTATTATTATAAATATTTTTGTTATATAACACACAATATATATATATATTAAGTAATAGTATTTATTGAAATTTTTATAAGATTTTCTCATTATGTGATTGTTATTTATTTTACTATATTATGAATATTCAAAAAACATTTTATTTTATATATATATATATATATATATACTGTAGTATTAAAATATTACTAAATATTCAAACAACATATATTGATATATATATTGTATATAAATAATAATAATAATACAAAATTAAAAAATTGAGGTCAATATGTTTGATGGAAAATAATAAATATATTTATTATTACATTATATTATTTCTAATAAAATAAACGTTTAATAAATTGTTTTATATACTACTACTATATTATAGTTTAGTACAGTATATCATAATATTATATAATAATTGTAGAGTATATTAAAAATACATATTGTTTCACAATATAAATTATTATGTAATATACTATAATATATTTCACATAAAACAAACTATTAAGTAATTTTTTTATTATTATATACTACATGTTTAATAAAAAATATAGTAATAATAATAATAATAAACAATAAAACACAGTAATAAATATTATTAAATTGTTTATCATTTAAAAATCTTAAAAATAAAATAATTTATTAAATAAAGATAAATCAAAAATGCAAACAATAATAAATTAGATATTTTTTAAAAATGTAATAAATTAATTATAATATATATATTAATTTTTATCAATTATAAATTTAATATTTAATAGGAGACAGGTAAAAAATCTTAAATCATTTTTATTATTAAATTTTAACAATTTATTTTTAGAAATTATTATAAATTAGAAAAAACTATTATTTTTTTTTTGATATATTTTTAAAAGATTTATTTATATATAAATAAATAAATTAATTTAGTATTTTCTATTGAAATTGAAATTAATAATTATAACTAATAGTAAAAAATAAATGTATTTAATTAATTGCATAAACAATTGATTGTGTAATTTATATATTATTTATATAATTAGATAAAAAATGAGCATGCTTATTTTTGAAACAATATTAGTTTTAAGTGTTAACTATAGTTTGCTATCTATTTTTTAAAATATTATAACTAATATATCTAATAAATAATACTTAATTTATTTGTTACAGTTTTTTAATACATATTATAATAAAAAAATATTTTAATTTTTTTTAAAAAAAAGTTACTATATTTTAAATATTATATAATATTTATTTTATTTTAACTATATAATTATTTTTAGGTCTAGACTATATAAATTATGTTATGTATAAATTAAATATTAATATTACATTTAATAATATATCAAATTAATATATATTATTTGATAATTTGATTAAAATTTAATAATAATAATATAAATTATTGTTTCAATTACTATATTAATTATACACAATATAAATGTATTATATTAATATTCATATAATTATTTTTATTAAAAAAAATAATATCAAATATCATATTTATACTATACCTATATATACAGTATATCATATATATTGTAATTATAATATATTTATTCAAAAAAAAATTGCTTATAATATAAAACTTTTTAATTAAATTACTAAATAATATCTTATTTTTTCAGTCTAAATAAAAAACATATAATAAATTATATATTATATAATATATATCCATATAATTAATACAAAAAAAAGTTATAATAATCAAAAAAATATTGTAAAAAATTAGAACTAAAATAATTTATTTAATTCTATATAAAATTGAAAGTTTTTAATCAAAAATTATTATTTAAAACATATTTTTTTGAGTATTTATTTCCCATTCAATCAATCAATCGATGGGCAAATACCTGTCCAAAGTAGCCAACAATAATCACTATACATATCCTCATCATAATAATAATCATCATTATTATTACGGATGGTTTCGCAGTCATCGTCATCATCGGCATCATCGAGAGCGCCGACTATTGATGGCCGGCCTCGACGGCAGCGGTAAGACAACACTGATTACTAGACTAGTCCTGGACGGCCATATCCGGGCCGATATGGTCATAGCCGGTACGCCGGCGGTCAGCCGTAGCGGTGGTGGTAGCGGTAGTCGGTCGGCTTCGGCGACCAGAGGCTGCAACGTATGGCGTGTCGACTACAGTGGCCGACCCTACAGTCTGTGGGATGTCGGCGGTACGGGCGGCGAACGTACACTTTGGCGTAACTATTTTGGCGGTACCGATGGCCTGGCATTTGTTATCGATTCCGGCGATCGCCGCCGTCTACCGGAGGCCAGTGTCGAGTTGCATAAGATATTGAACGACCGAGAGATGCGGGATGTGGTGCTGGTAGTGGTGGCCAACAAACACGACTTACCTAATAGTATGTCATTATATTGAATATATATATTAATTATACATTATTTATACCCAGTATATACACACTAAACATGTTTTTAATTTTTATTGATTAATATATTTTTAATTGCAATTATTTTTTAATTGTATTTTTCTTTATAATTTCTAATATTATTATGTAATCAATTAATTGGTAAATTAATTTTTTTAACAGTACAATACATGTACTTATTTTTTTTTTGAAAAAAATATTATATATCAATAACTTTATAACTATAATATCGTTAACAATATTTTTTTTTTGAAAAAATTATATTACATTACATATATATATACTGATATCATATATATAGAGTAGATATACTGTACTACATGTATATATATATACCTGTATGTCATATCAATAGCCTTTTTAAAGTGTATTTTSATTTGTTATATATTATATATATATATTATATATAATTGATAGCTATGTCAGCCAAGGAACTGGAGTTCAAGCTGGGCCTCAATCGGATCCGCCAAAAGCACTGGTATATAGTAACGACATCCGCTCTCTATGGGACAGGTATTGGCGATTGTATGAAATGTTTTCAGCCACCGATGATTACAACAACCAAAACAACAAGTGTTGTCTCATCAGACAAACTACCCGTTCAACAACCGGATGTCTATAAATTAGTCGACAATTATTAAAATCAAAATAATATTTTTTTAAAATTAATAAATTTTAAAATCAAAAAAATAAAACTCAAATATTTTTTTAATTGAGAACAAATTTTTTTTTAATTTTCTAATTATGCAAAAAATAATAATATTTAGAAATATTTTTTAATTTTGCATTAGTTTAAATTATTTGACAAATCAATTATTATTATTATAGTTATAGTTATTGCTTTATTAATGGGAGGGGCGGGGCGGGTGCCTAATGTATAGATAACATATAGTTTTATTTTTGCATTTTAATAATGATAATAATAAATTTATATGTATAATGAATATTATGAATATATTACATATAAGTATTTAATATATGATATTAATATATATTTTGTATCAAAAAAAACTGTTTAACAAAAATTTTATGTAACAATTATATACAATATATATAAAGCACTCAATATATTATACAGTAGTTATTGATATGAAGTTTATATCATAATACTTATTAAATATAAATTATTTAATATATATTTATTAGTATTACTGTATAATAAATTATTTTTTTTCAAATAAATTAAAATTGATATATAATTTTATAAATGTTTTTTTTACAAATTGTATCTTTAAACAAAAACAAAATTTGCATATAAATATGCTAATATATATCAATCATATACACTTTATATATATATATATACAGTATATATATGATAATATATACTAAACTATAAATCTATCAAATTATTGACCGATTTGTTAGGAAAATATAATAAAGTATTAGATATTATAAATATATTTTTTAATTTTGTTATACTTTATTATTATATTATTATACATCAATATTATATATATATATATATATATATCTAACAGGCAATAATTTTGGTTTTTAAAAAAATTAAAATAAATTATTTTTTTAAATACAAAAATTATCAGATAATATATATAACAATTTTTTTTATTATCCATTACTCTATTTTGCATAACATGTTTATAAACATAACTTTTTTTAAATACATTTATTAAATTGTAAATGTGTTTATGTTTTAATGATTGCCAATAACTAATTTATTAAAATAATATATATATATATATATATTATAATAGCCTTACAATTAAATTTTAAAAAATAAATAAAAGTTAAAGCCTATCATACTTTAGTATACTTTACTATAGTATATAATATATTTTAGTATTTTAAAAATTGTTTTAACTTTTTTTTATATTTATTATTATTATTATTATTATTATTATTATATAGTATATTGATATTTATCATCAATAGTATGAGATGTTTATGTATTTATATCACTGTTAAAATAGTTGTAATAAAAATTTTTAAAATAATTAAAAAAAAATTAACTATACTTTAAGGCAAAGTGATATCAGATTTAAAAATCAAATTTAAGAAAAAAGTTTTATTTGTGTTTAAACTCTCTCTCTCTCTCTCTCTCTCTCTCTCTCTCTCTCTCTCTTAATGTAAATTTGTAATACTATTTTAATAGTCAATTATTATTTTATAATTATTATTTAATTGGTTTTTAAATATCACGACTATATACCGTATATACATATATATATATATATATATATATATATATATATATATATATATATATATAATCATAATTATTATACACATAATATAAATACAGTATTTTCAGTATTTTATTTACAGATTAAATATATTTATAACGATTTTGTTTTTATTATCATATTATTAATATTATAAATATATATAAATTTATATATCTATAGCTTTATATAAACACATTTTATAGCTGTTTTAAAATCAGGGTTGCTAAAGGTTTTCGATTTCAGGGGGGGGGGGGTATAGGGGGAGGTAAAATGGCAAAATTTTCGAAAAAGCTTGGGGGGGGGGGGTATAGGGGGGTGAACATTTTTTATTGCATTTTTAAACGACAATTTTTGCCAAATTTGAGTAAATTCCCASTAAATTCCCACTAAATTCCCACTAAATTCCCACTAAATTCCCACTAAATTCCCACTAAATTCCCACTAAATTCCCACTAAATTCCCACTAAATTCCCACTAAATTCCCACTAAATTCCCACTAAATTCCCACTAAATTCCCACTAAATTCCCATTAAATTCCCAATAAATTAACTAATAAAAATAACTTAAAAATATTCTCAGCTTAATTTCTCAATACTCAAAATGTTTTCTAAATATTACACGATTTCTAAATATATATATAACTATTATAATTATAATTATTAAATAAAAATATTATTGTTTTTAAAAAATAGTTATTAATTAAAAAATTAATGATATAGTACTGTATTTATTATAACGTTTTAATAATAATAATAAAAATAAAATTGGCAGAAATAATTATTAATTAGTTCTAAATAATTAATTTAATTTAAGAATATATCTTTTTATAGTATTTAAATTGAACCATAACTAACAAATTTTAATATAAAGATTCTAAATTCCCACTAATTTCATATAAATTCCCACTACATTCTCATTAATTCCTTAAAAATTCTTAATAAATTTCCACTAAATTATCTATAAATTAACTAATAAAAATATTCCTAACTTAATTCTCAATACTCAAAATGTTATCTAAAATATTCATTTTTAAAAAAATATAAAAAATAAAGAAATGCATAATTATATAACTATAATTATGATAATTAATTAAAAATACAATTATTTAGTTATAACATAAGTTATATCATCCCCATTGTGTTTGTGTGTGTGTGAGAGAGAGAGAGAGAGAGAGAGAGAGAGAGAGAGAGAGAGAGAGAGAGAGAGAGAGAGAGAGAGAGAGAGAGAGAGAGAGAGAGAGAGAGCACAAGTAATCAATTGTATGTTACTTATAATGGATATGAAGGGAAAGGTATGTCGAGTTTTTGGCTATACTTCCACTTTTGGGAAAACAACTCTTTCATCGCCCAAATGAATTGAATACTCAATGGACAGGTGTGTGTGTGTGTGTGTGTGAGAGAGAGAGTATGTACTGTATGTGCCCTCAAACACATACACACACACACACACACAAGCAATTAAAAGTCAATACCGGAGCAAATATTTTAAACAGGGTTGCTAAAGGGGGTAGGGGGGTAAGACGTCTTACCCCCCCCCCTGAGATGGAGAAATTTTTGCTTTTACCCCCCCTGGCATGAAGCCAAAAAGTTAGGGGGCCCCCTACCAATTTTTTTCAACTATGTAAAATTTTATATTAAACAAAAAAATAAATATTAAATTAGTTTTAATATAAATTAATAGCTTATGTATAGAAAATAAATAGATAAAAATACTTAATTACATCAATTTAACATTATTTACACTAGTTGGGGCACTCCACAAGGGAAAAAATAAATTCCCACCAATTTTCAAGAAAATTAATGTTAATATTTTAAACATTATATTAAAATGTGTTAGTTATGTGCTTTAAAAATAATAATTATGATATTAAATAAATATTACATAAATAAAGTAGGGGCACTCCACAAGGGAAAAAATAAATTCCCACCAATTTTCAAAAAAATAATTAAATATATTTTATTTTTTAGCTCTTTATAAATAAATAAATATATATATTATTTCATATTAAAAGTCGAAAACAAATTTTTAGCATAAATTTTAAAATAATTATATTTTAATATTTTTAAACTTTTTATTAAAGTGTGTTAGTTATGGTTCAATATGAAGTACTATCTAAAAAAATATTCTTAAATTAATTATTTAGTTATTTAATAATTATTTTTCACATTATTATTAAGACGTTATAATAAACACTAAGTACTATAATACTATAATACTAAGATAAAGTACTATATCATTAATTTTTTAATCAATTTTATAACTAAATAATTGTATTTTTAATTAATTATCATAATTATAGTTATATAATTATGCATTTCTTTATTTTTTATATTTTTTTAAAAATGAATATTTTAGATAACATTTTGAGTATTGAGAATTAAGTTAGGAATATTTTTATTAGTTAATTTATAGATAATTTAGTGGAAATTTATTAAGAATTTTTAAGGAATTAATGAGAATGTAGTGGGAATTTATATGAAATTAGTGGGAATTTAGAATCTTTATATTAAAATTTGTTAGTTATGGTTCAATTTAAATACTATAAAAAGATATATTCTTAAATTAAATTAATTATTTAGAACTAATTAATAATTATTTCTGCCAATTTTATTTTTATTATTATTATTAAAACGTTATAATAAATACAGTACTATATCATTAATTTTTTAATTAATAACTATTTTTTAAAAACAATAATATTTTTATTTAATAATTATAATTATAATAGTTATATATATATTTAGAAATCGTGTAATATTTAGAAAACATTTTGAGTATTGAGAAATTAAGCTGAGAATATTTTTAAGTTATTTTTATTAGTTAATTTATTGGGAATTTAATGGGAATTTAGTGGGAATTTAGTGGGAATTTAGTGGGAATTTAGTGGGAATTTAGTGGGAATTTAGTGGGAATTTAGTGGGAATTTAGTGGGAATTTAGTGGGAATTTAGTGGGAATTTAGTGGGAATTTAGTGGGAATTTAGTGGGAAATTAATGGGAATTTACTCAAAATTGGCAAAAATTGTCGTTTAAAAATGCAATAAAAAATGTTCACCCCCCCCTATACCCCCCCCCCCCAAGCTTTTTCGAAAATTTTGCCATTTTACCTCCCCCTATACCCCCCCCCCCCCTGAAATCGAAAACCTTTAGCAACCCTGATTTTAAAACAGCTATAAAATGTGTTTATATATAGCTATTGATATATATATATATATATATATATATACAGTATATACTACTAATAATATGATAATAAAAACAAAATCGTTATAAATATATTTAATCTGTAAATAAAATACTGAAAATACTGTATTTATATTATGTGTATAATAATTATGATTATATAAATATAAATGTATATACGGTATATAATCGTGATATTTTAAAAACCAATTAAATAATAATTATAAAATAATAATTGACTATTAAAATAGTATTACAAATTTACATTAAGAGAGAGAGAGAGAGAGAGAGAGAGAGAGAGAGAGTTTAAACACAAATAAAACTTTTTTCTTAAATTTGATTTTTAAAACTGATATCACTTTGCCTTAAAGTATAGTTAATTTTTTTATTATTATTTTAAAAATTTTTATTACAACTATTTTTAAGAGTGATATAAATACATAAACATCTCATACTATTGATGATAAATATCAATATACTATATAATAATAATAATAATAATAATAAAATGCGCAAAAAAATAAAATAAAAGTTAAAACAATTTTTAAAATATATTATATACTACTAAAGTATTATAGGCTTTAACTTATTTTATGTTTTTTTATTAATTTAATTGTAAGGCTATTATAATATATATATATATATATTTAATTTTAATAAATTAGTTAATGGCAATCATTAACATAAATACATTTACAATTTAATAAATGTATTTAAAAAAATAATAAAAAATCAAAGTTATGTTTATAAACATGTTATGCAAAATAGAGTAATGGATAATAAAAAATTGTTATATATATTATCAGATAATTTTTGTATTTAAAAAAAATAATTTATTTTAATTTTTAAAAAAATTATTGCCTGTTAGATATATATATATATAATATATTGATGTATTGATGTATTATAATATGATAATAAAGTATTTAAAAATTTATATAACTTATAACATAGTATATAACAAAATATAAATTTAAAATATCTAATATATTTGCTAACAAATCGGTCAATAATTTGATAGATATATAGTTTAGTATATATTATCATATTATATATACAGTGTATATGATTGATATAAATTAGCATATTTATATGCAAATTTTTTTTGTTTAAAGATACAATTTTTTAAAAAAAAAACATTTATAAAATTATATATCAATTATAATTTATTTGAAATTAACTTATTTTTATACAGTAATACTAATAAATATATATTAAATAATTTATATTTAATAAGTATTATGATATAAACTTCATATCAATAACAACTACTGTATAATATATTGTATATAATTGTTACATAAAATTTTTGTTAAACAGTTTTTTTTATACAAAATATATATTAATATCATATTTAATACTTATATGTAATATATTCATAATATTCATTATACATATAAATTTATTATTATTATTATTATTAAAATGCAAAAATAAAACTATATGTTATCTATACATTAGGCACCCGCCCCGCCCCTCCCATTAATAAAGCAATAACTATAACTATAATAATAATAATTGATTTGTCAAATAATTTAAATTAATGCAAACATAAAAAAATATTTCTAAATATTTTTTTTGCATAATTAGAAAATAAAAAAAAATTTTGTTCTCAATTAAAAAAATTTTAATTTTATTTTTTTTGGTTTAAATTTATTAATTTTTTTTTTGATTTTAATAATTGTCTACTAATTTATAGACATCCGGTTGTTGAACGGGTAGTTTGTATGATGATAAAACACTTGTTGTTTTTGTTGTTGTTTTAATCATCGGTGGCTGAAAACATTTCATACAATCGCCAATACCTGTGCCATAGAGAGCGGATGTCGTTACTATGTTACTGTGTCGTTACTACGTTACTGTGTATGTGTGTGTGTACGTATGTATGTGTGTATGTGTGTATGTGTGTACGTATGTGTGTGTGTGTGTGTGTGTATGTGTGTGTGTGTGTGTGTGTGTGTGTGTGTGTGTGTATGTTTGTGTGTGTGTSTGTATGTGTRTGTGTGTGTGTAATGTATTTAATAGCTATTAATTTATTTTTCTCATTGATATTGTTTGTTTCCCATCAAATAAAAAATCACAGTGTTTTTTTAATATTAAATAATATATTTTTATTTATTTTTTATTTTCTAATAGAAAAATCCATTTTTTTGTGTGTAATTTGTTGACAATTTGTTGTAAATACTTTTTAAAAAATTTAAATTTTATTTTTCATAGTGTTAATGAACTTATAAGGGGGGGGGTGGAAATAATATTTAAGCAAAATAATATATTGTAGTTTTTATATAGTATATTTATTTATTTATATTATATATATTTAGATATATAAATACATCAATTGTTTTATTACAGTTTTTTTGCAAACTTTATATAATTTAGTAACTAATAGATTATTGTAAAGGGATTACAAATTTTATTCCTAATAATATTTTAACTATTTATTTATTATTTATAAATAAATTAGTTTTTTTAWAAAATAATTATCGAAAATAGCATTATGTTTATACTATTATATATATATATATATATATATATATATTTACYTATATTATGAATGTCGTTATTTTATTTATTTAATTATAATTAAAAATTTATGAATAAATTATTATTATAACAATTATAAATTTTTACAAAATTAAAATTAAATTTTTAAGTTTGTAAAATTCATATAAATGTAAAGATACTTGTTAAACTAATAATAGTAATAATATTATTAGTAATAATATTATTAGTAATAATATTATTAGTAATAATATTATTAGTAATAATATTAGTAACAATATTAGTAACAATATTAGTAATAATATTAGTAATAATATTAGTAATAATAATAGTAATAATTAATTAATTAATTAGTAATAAAACTAATTAATAAAACATAATTTCTTGATTATGTCTAACAGTAATAAGTCTTTGGTTAGGACTACTCAAACGTATGGGTAAAACGGTGTTTAACCCCCCCATCGCCACATAAATTGTTTGGGGCATCAATTTGCCGATAGTCTGTCCAATACCGACACCCTATAGGTCAGTGTACAYCTGTTGACCTCCCTTTCCARTTGAGATCGTTCTAATCGCTCGGTTAGCAAATGTCTGTTAATAATATGTCGTCTAATTGTCGCTTTGGTAGCTGTCTTGACAATAGTCGGGACCGACCCGTTATTACCGACATTGGTGTTGGCCAGGGATTCGTGACAWCGGCGACACTCATACGGATAGTATTTGATATGCGGGTTAATATGGTTGACATTGTTGCCCGAAAAGTACTGATCAATGTCTAGTATATCGAAATCATAGGTCGGGTCCGATGATGATGACGGGTTCGGGTCGGGATTGTTAGTGTTRTTRTTGTTGTCAAGGCTYGGGTCCGGTTCGGGTGCAATGATAATATCATATACCTGTTAATTATATACTATTAAATTAATAAAAAGTTTATCAATAAATATATATATATATATATATATAAATTAATTAACTGTATTATTATTATTAAAACTTAATAATGTGTTTGTTTTAAACTATGATTACTGTTAATAGTCTAATTAAAAAATAAAATAAAATTGTACATGATAAAATAACAAAATAACAATAATACTATAATAATAATTTTTTTATAAAAATAATAATACAGTAATTATTTATAATAATAAAAATAATAATTCAATAATTATTTATAATAATAATAATACAGTAATTTTTTAGACTAATACTACTACTAATAATAATTAAGTATTTTTTATAATAATAAAAATAATAATACAATAATTATTTATAATAATAATAACAATAATAATACAGTAATTTTTTAGATTAATACTACTACTAATAATAATCYAATATTTTTATAATAATAATAATAATACAATACATACGGCTATAATACGATCACAGGCTGGACATCCACGGTATAGACTTTTAGCCGAATCGGGTAACGACTTATTATTGCTGCCGGTCATAGACTCCCTGAGCCGGTCCTGATAGTTCAGGTGCTCGGTTAGAAATTTCTCGACWGCACCCGTATCTGMCTGACACCGGCGATGATTGAAATGCCTGTCCCTTAGGTGTTCCCTCAGTCCCGTACGGGTACTAAATGTTAGAAAACATTGATTGTCTCGGGTATACATAGGTTGACAGTCCTCGGTAATGGTCGGCGGCACCGGGTAGTCATTATTATTATTATTATCATCATCATTGAATATACAAAAATAGCTAGGTAAGTTAGCCATATATATATATATTGATAATTTTCAAGTTATTCAAAAATTCAAGCTAGCTAAATATATATATATATACCTATTTGAAAATAAAATATGATTTTTATAATAATTATTTTTCTTAAAAATTAAATTAAAATAAATTATATTACCGGATATTATGATATTATTATGATGTAACAAATTAATAATAATAATAATAATAATAATAATAATAATGGCAGTGTAAATAYATATATATATATATATATATATGTTTTATTTACAGGTATACWTATATTAACTATAATTATAATAWGTGATAATAATAAMCATAGTTTATGTAATTTATTTCATAATGTAAATGAAATARTTTTATTTAGTTATTAYTATTATTATCAAAATATAATTACTACCATCTATGATTTTAAAAAGTTTTAAAAAAATGTAAAATTTAAGTCTAAATAATTATAAAGTTTTAATTTATATTTGATATACAGTATATATGTGTATTTAAATAAATGATTTTATTATTTTTTTTTTCAAAATATATTTTGTTACAAAYTTKWATTWTATAAATATATTTTAGAAAACAATTTTTGTTTTTAAATTTTATAAAAAATTTGTATTAAWAAACAATTTAATTGTATAATTGTAAACTGCTATTTAGCAAATTGCAAATCAATATATATGTATATAATTTTGATATAAARTAAATTTTAAATATATATGTAAATTATTATTTAGTTATATATAATACTATATATATATATATTTAAAAAATTATAATAAATTTTGTTGTTGTACTATATCTTTATGTTAACATAATTATACTGTATTTATTAGTTTAATATTATAATAATTATTATTTTTTATGACTTTTACTTATTATTATTATACAGTATTATATAYCTGTAATTGAATTTAAAATAATAATAATAATAATAATAGCAATTAGTATTTTACTGAAAAAAAACAATAAATAATTATTGTTTTTGTTTCTAAATGGACAGACTATCCAATAGGGATAGTCTACAGTCTACAGTCAACCTGTCGACCTCCAGTTCCAACATTTGTTTGTCCAGTGCCTCCCGTAGCAAATGTTGGCTAATTATATGGCGTCTAATTATATTTTTGGTGGCTGTCCTGACAATAGTAGATCCGTTATTGTTGTTGGTATTGGTGTTGGTGTTGGTGTTGGCCAGGGATTCGTGACAACGGCGGCACTCATACGGATAGTATTTGATATGCGGATTAATATGGTTGACATTGTTGCCGGAAAAGTGGTCATTAATATCGCGTATATCGAAATCGTTGGCCGGGTTCGGGTTGTCCCCATCGATGCTAATATCAAATACCTAGATCAATTATATTAAATAAATAAATTAATAAGAAATAATAATAATTAATAATAATAACATAATAAGTACTAATAATAATAACATAATAAGTAATAATAATAACATAATAAGTAATAATAATRACATAATAAGTAATAATAATAACATAATGTAAATCTATTTTTTTTAAATAATTTTCTAAATAAAATATTTAGTAATTAAATTAAATTAATTAATTATTTTTATATATATATATATATATAAATACAATAAAATAATTATTATTTAGTAATACTTATATAATACGGGGGGCGTAAATCATTTATATATTTAAATATTATGTTTTTAATTACATATTATATTAATATAAATATATTATTAAAATCAAATATTATTTTATTTAATAAAATTATAATAAAATAATTATATGATAATCAAMTAAATTAAAACATACGGCAATAATACGATCGCAAGCTGGACAACCCCKGTATAGACTTCTAGCCGAATCGGGCAATGACCTAATCGGTTGGGACATTGCCTCCCGGAGCCGATCCTGATAGTCTAGATGGCCGGCCAAAAATTTATCCACAGWTTCGTAGTAGTAGTCGGGGGTAATACAGTTGTTAAAATGTTTGTCCACTAAGTGATCCCTGAGCTCGGATCGGGTCGAAATGTTAGAAATAATTGGTTATYCCAGGTATGTCTRGGYAWACAGTCGGCACTGGTAGCTGATTGTATAGGGTTGTCGTCGACAAACACACAAAAATATGGTGTTTCCGGTATACTAGACATAGTTGTGTTGGGTGTGTATGAGTGGGTGTGTGTGTGTGCCTAGATAATTTATCTAAATATTTTTTTTAAAAATATATAAAAATATAAAATAATTGTTAATTACAAATATAATTAAATAAAATTAAATATAACAATAAATTGAATGTTACATACAATTATAAGTGTTAACAATTTATTAACAAATTTGTCACAAAAAAAACTTAACAATTATTATAAGTATTTAAATATAAATTATTTATTTTTACAATATTTTTAAAATATATTTATTTAAGTAAATTTTATTTTTAACAAAGTTTGATCAATTAATAATATGTAATAAAAATGTAATGTTACAGTTTTTTTTTATTTATACTATTATTTAAACTGATTATTACATATTATTATTAAATATTTAATTAATAATAATGTAATGCCATTTAGTAGTGTAATGCAAATATTAAATACTGTAATAAATAAATAATGTAAAAAATAATATTATAAACTATTGATAATATAATATGTATTTCCATCTATGAGTAGCACAATGTAAAACAATTTAAAACTTTTTTAGTTTAGTAATAAAAATACATTGTAATATATTATAACAAAAATATATTTTAAATTGATTATATAATTTAAACAGAAAAAAATCATAATAATAAAATTAGTTACAATATATATATATATATATATTTATACTATTTATTTTATTTTTAAAAATTAAAATAGAAACTTATTTTTAAAAAATAGTAGTCATTATCTATAATATACTGATTATTATTTAATACATTTTTTTAAACTAATAATAATGTAAAACAATATTAATGTTTGAAAACAAATAATATATACTATATATCCATATATGGATAAAAAATCTAATAATAAACTTTTAAATTAAACTATAGTTTATATAAGTGTTATAATTTATAAATTTTGATATATAAAATATATATATATTTAATTAAGATTTTTAACAAATATTGATTTAGTTTTTTTTATTAGTAGAAAATAATTTTTTAAAATAATATTTTTTTTAATCAAATCAAATTTAAACATAAATTTATGATTATATTATATAACTTTATATAATTTTCTATAAATATTTTATTGTTAAAAAATTAAAAAAAGTTAACCTGGTAATAATTAAATATAGTATTATCACTAATAATATAGTAGTATTAAACATATCATTTAGATATTTCTAGCTATTAGTCTATCCAATAGGGATACCCGAAAAYTATACGTTCCCAACTCGACCTCMCTGTCCAATTGATCTCTGTTTAGTCTATCTATTAGCAAATGTTTGTTAATAATATGYCGYCTRATTATGGCTTTGGTAGCCGATTTGACAGTAGTAGTAGTCACCAACACATCCCGGTTCCCGTTGTTGTTGTTTGTTGGCCTGAATTGATTCATAGCAYCGSCGACACTCGTATGGATAGTATTTGATATGTGTGCCAATATGGTTGACAGTATTACCCGAAAAACACTTATCAATGTCAAGGATATCGATTGAATTGTAGGCCCGTTGGGATGGGTTGGGATCGGGTTTGATATCATATACCTATTAAAGTATTATTATTATTATAGCATATTATTAGACAATAAAATTATTAACAGTTTTTTTGTTTTAAATTTAATCAAAAAATTAAAACTTTTTTTTCAATACATACGGCAATAATACGATCACACGCTGGACAACCCCTGTATAGACTTTTACCGTTAGTATCGGGCAATAACCGGATGGAGGAGGACATGGCTACGACTAGCCTGTCCTGATAGTCCAGATGGTCGGTCACAAACCTATCGACGGCACCGTAATCGGCCACATTATTACGTCCATTATTATTACTATTGAAATGCTGGTCAAACAGATGCTGGCGTAGGCCATCGCGGGTACGAAATGTTAGGAAACATTGGTTAGTCTGTGTATATCTGGGCATACAGTCAGTGGTTGATGTTGTTGTTGGGAACGGTAGTATCGATGGTTGRTCGACAAACACACAAAAATAGGGTGTTTCCGGTATACTGGACATAGTTTTGTCTGTGAAAATATCTAAATATAATAATAATTWATAATTAATWATTATTTTTTAATATTTTTTTAAAAAAAATATGAACACATTATTAGACACACAAATAAAATTATCAAAATAGAAAATTTAGCATGCTAAATATTTATTTATTTTACAATACTAAATAAAATTTTATTTTAAAAAAAAATGTTACCTAGATAAATAAAATGTTTCAAAAAATTGAGTTTTAATAAAATAATTAAAATATATACAGTACTATCAATTATTTGTAAAAAAATAATTATATTTTATAAATTATTTATTATATTTATTTATAATAAATGTTAATGTAATGCATTTTGTAATACAGTACTAATGTTGCACTAAATAGTTGTAATAAATATTAATTACAGTATTATATAATATATTTTGATATTAATAACTCCATCTTTCAATGAAAATATTATTTTATAACAAATAAAAAAGTAAATAATATTATTAAATATAATTTTTAATAGCATTAATAGCATTTTATTTATTGATATATTCAATAATATTAAAAACAATTAATTGTTATCAAGTTTGAAGTTTATTTTAATCTACAAATAAATTATTATAATTAATAATTCAAGTGCACATTATATTTTTTTTAGATAAATAGATTTTTTTTTAAATTAAATATTATTATAATAATAATACTTAATTTTACTTACAATTGATAAAAATGAAATAATGAATAATTAAATTATTTTATAAATGATTTAGTTTATAACTATATTGTATTAAAATAAAAATAAAATTATCTCTATTTATCAGAAAAAAATAATAATATAATATAAATCAAATATTTATTTGATTTATATTATATCAAATATTGTTTTAAAATTATGTAGTTTATCTTGATAAATTAATTCATCTAGATTATTTACCAACTTAACAATTTGTAAATATAATATAAGCAAATAATTAGTATTTTAATTATTATTTTCAATATAATAGTTGGCGACAGTTTCTATAACTATACAAAAAAAACATAAAAATTAATAAAAATTAATTAATTATTAATAAATAAAAAAATAAATATTTACATTTACTAAATATACCCAGTCATCTCTAGTCTAACCGTATCTATTGCTACCCCACACCCACCCCATAGTAGGATAAACCCAACATAGGGTGACACTTGTTTCAATCAAATTGTTTATTGTTGTTGTTATTACTGATAAAAATAAATAATTAAAATATTTAATAAGTTTTATAACTTTATAGGTATTCAATTAATAATTAGTAATTAATTGTCATTAATATTATTAAATGTATACTTAAAAAAATAGTTGTCATTAATTTTTTTTTTGATATCATATATTTATATTAAATAAATAATTAATAATTATTATTTATATTACTTATCTAATTTGTTTGTAATTAAAATTAAATATCTAGTTTAATTAATAATAATAATAATAATAATAAACAATTTAGATAAATATCTATTGAATTTTTTAAAAAAAATTTAGTAAAACATTATTTTTATACACATAATAATTAATTAATTTACATCAAAAAAAAAATTTAATTAAATATTTTTGTAAACAGATCAGCCATTTTATTAGCTTATAAAACAAAAATAAAAATATATATATATATATATATAATTTATAAAAATTTAATTTAAAAGTTAGCATGTTAAAATATTATTTGTTTTGCCTAACATTTATCACTGTTTTTGGTAATAATCTTAATTAATTAATTAATTAATTATAGTTGTTTTACTATTATTTGTTTATTGCAAAAAAAATTAAATTACAAAAAATACAATTTATACAATATATATATATTTATTACATTAATTTAACAAAAAAATTAATTAATTAATTATTTTATTTATTTATTTAAAGTGTTTATCAGTGCTTACTATCCAAATGCGGACTCATTTGATACGGACTATAATGATGACAGAGTCGGCGGCAGATATCCATCGATTGGCCAAAGATCGGGTGGTAGTAGTGATGGCGGACGCAGAAAACTGCCAAACGGTTGGGCCGGCACACCGGTAGGGGGTAGAAGTTTGATTGGCGGTGGCGGTGGTTATGGTGGTGGTAGACAGTATGGCCGCCATCATCATCGTCAAAGTGGAGGACACATGAGGAGGTCAGGCGGTAGTGGCGGTCATGGATACGGCAGTAGTCGTCGAAGATATAATGATGGCTACAATGACTACTACAACGATGACGACGACGCCGGTATCAGTAGTTATTCATCGCTGGGCGACAGTAGTGGTGGTAGTAGTGGTGGTCGTCCCTATAAACAGGCCCGTATGTCCGGTCCGGACCTATATCACGATGAACAGGGACCACACTACGATAATGACAATCCACGTTTGGCTAAACCAGTTATCAGTTATTATCCTAGATATGATGGCAATCAGATAACTGATAAACAGTATAAAAAACTATTGAACAAATATAAGCAACAATCAAAAGCTAACGGTGCTGCTGGTAGTGCTGCTGCTGCTGATCCACATCATAAAGCACATGGAGTTGCTGTCGATATTGGTATCAGTAGTTATTCGGGTCTAAACTCTATGGATAGTACCGACAGCAGCGGCAGCGGCGGTGGCGGCGGTGGTGGCCATCAACAACAAAGCGGGCAACGGCGGCCATACAAGATGTTAGTAATGACAGGTCCGGACCTAAGTCAGGACGAACATGGCCTACATTATGGCAAATCAATGGCTAAGCCGGTGATTGGCTATCATGATGGCCAGGGGAATAGGGTTAGCAAACAGGAATACGAACTACTGGTCAGTAGGTATAATAGTGGTAGTAGTACTGGTGGTGTGGGTGTTGGTGGTGGTGGTGGTGGTGGTGGTGGTGGTATCGGTGGTATAGGCAATGATGATGAACAAGGAGTCGCTACCGGCCGGCCCTACAAAGAAATAGTAATGTTAGGACCGCCTGTCTGGCGGGACGAACAAGGGGTACACTATGACAATATGGCCAGTGAGCCAGTTATTAGCTACTATGATGAACAAGGAAACAGTATTAATAAGGAACAGTACGATAGACTGATCAGAAAATACCCGGGCGCTGATACCGATGATACTATCAATTTTAATGGCGGCCGCGGCCGCAGTCAACCGTATAAAAAAGTGATACTAACCGGTTCGGGTGTCTATCACGATGAACGTGGACCGCATTATGATGACCACAATAGTCATCCTCCTCAGCAACCAGTGATTGAATATTATGATGGAAAGGGAAACAGGATTACCAAACGTGAATACGATTGGCTAAAACATAAACAGTAGTAATTTATAAGAAAATAGGTTGGTTGCATAGGTAGGTGCTGATGATGATGATGATGATGATGATGGTGGTGCTGATTGTGGGTGGGTTAGGTTTTTTTTAATTTACTACTACTACTACTACTACTACTACTACTACTACTACTAATACTACTACTACTACTACTACTACTACTACTACTACTACTACTACTACTACTACTACTACTACTACTACTACTACTACTACTACTACTACTACTACTACTACTACTACTACTACTACTACTACTACTACTACTACTACTACTACTACTACTACTACTACTACTACTACTACTACTACTACTACTACTACTACTACTACTAATAATAATAATAATAATAATAATAATTATTATTATTAAAAATAATAAAATAAAAACTATTATATTTGTTGCTGTTGTTGTAAAAATAGTTAACTTAAATCTGTAATAATTAAAACATTTTATTTATTTATTATTTTTGTTAATTAATAAATTGATATTTTTATTGCATAAATATACGGTATATACTGTTTATAACTATTTATATATTAGTATAATTAATGCAAACATTTGTAACATTAAATAGTTTTTATTAATATATTATATACTGGTATATGATTTAAATATATAATTATTTTATAATTTTATATATTATTATATTTTTGTTTTTTTAGAATTTAAACAAAACTAAATGATTAGTAAATATTATTTATTAATTTTTCTAAAAAATTGTAATTGTAATAAATATATTTAATTAAATTATATTTTTAAATTAACACATTATTTTTAATTAACTATTATAACATTGTTTGATATAATAATAATTATTTTATTATTTTATTTTTGTTTAAATATAAAATTTTAACAGTTTATAAATTAAAACTTATAATAGTTATAGTTATATAACTATAATATAATATTTATAAAAGTTATAATAATAAAAATTGGTTGCATAGGTAGGCGCTGATGTGTAGGTGGGTTAGGTTTTTTAGTTTAATAATAATAATAATAATTAAAATAAAAACAATTATATTCGTTGTTGTTAACAGTTAATAAATTAATTAATTTATTATTTTATAGTTGAAAGTAAAAAAAAATAATTTTAAAAATCATAAAATTTTCAAACTCAAACATATTTCAGTACTTTTTCTATTAATTGAAACTTAATATTTAATTTATATACTAGTATATACAGTATATATATATATATATAACGACTCTTATATTTATAAAATAAAATTATTTTTTAGTTAACTATTGATTGACTGATAGAAACATACAGAGAAAGAAAAAAAATGTCTAAATTAAACATTTTTTGTTTAACTATTATAGCATTGTTTGGTAATAATAATAATTAATTATTTTTTTTAAAAACATAAATATTCTAAATAATTAATTTTAATTATAAAATTATTATTTATTTTTTTCAAACAAATTTATTTTTATTTATTTATTTTTTAAATTTTGTTGTTAATAGCAATTATTAATACAATAAATTGTCAATTATTGGATGATGAAAATGGTAGTCAAAAAATGATGGTAGTAGATGGTTATAGAAGAGCACATACGGGTAAATATAATAACCGATTGGGACCGACTGGACGGGACGGGACGGGATAATGAGATAGAGACTAAATAATAATATTAATAATAATAATAATAGTCTCTAGTTATTCTAGTATTTAATTCTAGTGTAAATTTAGTGTAATTAATAGTCTAATAATAATTATTATTATAATATTTTTTATAAATAATAACCGAATGGGAAACAGGATGGAGTAGTGAGATAGCGACTAAATAATAATAATTAATAATAATAATTAATAATAATAATTAATAATAATAATTAATAATACTAATTAATAATAATAATTAATAATAATAATTAATAATACTAATTAATAATAATAATTAATAATAATGACTGGGACGGGACGGGTTAGTGAGATAGATAACGATAATTATTAATTAAAAATGGATATATGAATTTTATTAATTAATTAATTTAATTAAAAACTAATTATAACTAATAAATATAATAATAATAGTTTATTAAATAATTAATATGTTCTAAATTATTAATTTTAAAAAAAATTATTAAAATATTTTATTGTTTTTTAGTTTTAAATAGATTTTATATTTTAAAAATATTTTGTTTGTTATAATTATTTAATTTATTGAATATTATTAAAATAAAATATAAATACGGATAACAAATTTATTTGTAAAGTTATCAAGTTTATTTTGCTAATAATAATAATAATAATATAATTGATTTATAATAGTAACAAATATTAAAAAGTATTATTAAGATTATTATTATTATTATTAAGTATTATTTTAAAAAATTTAATTATAATATTATTAGTATTATATTAGTAGTAATTGTCTCCGCATTAAAGCTATACTATAGTAATGGCTGATAGTATAGCAACAGTTATAACCTTATCATTTGATAAGCTATTATACTATGATTAGGGGTTAGGGATGGGTGAGTGGATGGGACAGGTATTATCAAACATTACAATGTTTTAACTACTCCTACAAATAAAATAATTTTTTTTACAAAAAAAATGGTAATGACTTTCAGATTTCAGGAATGAGATTATAATTTATTATAATTAATAATTTTTATAAATTATATTTTTTAAAAAAAACTACGTGTATATACTGTATATGTTTATAAAACTAAATATTATATGTAAATTATTTTTATTAAACATTTGAAAAAAAAATTTATATAATAATAAATAACTTAATTATTTTGTTTAATTCAATTTTTTTCTAATACTAATATTGTTGAATACAAAATTAAATTTCAATTAAACATAAATAATGATATATTTTTTTTGAATTACATTATTAGGTTAAATTTTATTTTGTTATTAATTAAATAATATTTTAATTATATTCAAAAAAAATGTTTTGTTTAGCAAATATTATTATTATACTACTCTAGTAATGTATTTTAATTAATTATTTTATAGTTAAAAAAATTATTTTAAAAATCATAAAATTAAATAATGAAACATTTTTTTTTAGTAATTTTTGTATTAATTGAAACTTAATATTTAATTTATATATATATATATATATTACGACTCTTATAGACTAAAAAAAATAAATGTAATTTTTTTTTTGTAAAAAATTATATTAAATTATATTTTTTTAGTTAACTATTTATTGACTGATTGAAACATATAGAGAGAAACAACAACAACAACAACAACAACAACAAAATGTCTAAATTAAACATTTTTTGTTTAACTATATATATATATATATATATATATAATGGGATAGTTTAATAATAATAATAATAATAATAATATATAAAATAWATGTAATTTTTTTTTGTAAAAAATTATATTAAATTATATTTTTTTAGTTAACTATTTATTGACTGATTGAAACATATAGAGAGAAACAACAACAACAACAACAACAACAACAAAATGTCTAAATTAAACATTTTTTGTTTAACTATTATAGGATTGTTTGGTATAATTTGTGGGATTATTAATTTAATTATTAAATTAAATTAATGGGATAGTTTAATAATAATAATAATAATAATAATATATAAAATAAATGTAATTTTTTTTTTTGTAAAAAATTATATTAAATTATATTTTTTTAGTTAACTATTTATTGACTGATTGAAACATATAGAGAGAAACAACAACAACAACAACAACAACAACAACAAAATGTCTAAATTAAACATTTTTTGTTTAACTATTATAGGATTGTTTGGTATAATAATAATAATAATTAATTAATTATTATTTTATTTTTGTTTATATATAAAATTCTAATTAATTCTAATTATTTATTTGTTTTTCTCAAACAAATTTATTTATTTTTTTACTTTTTTTATAGCTATTATTCATACAATCAATGGTCAATCATTGGACAATAATAATAATGATGATGAAAATAATAATAATAATAATAATAATAATAACGATATTAACGATTTGGATATAGTTTTGGGCAAAAATTTTAAAACTATATACAAAATATTGTCGGAAATGCTTGAATCAACTAATAATAATTGGCAACAAATAAAAYTTAAAAACAAAATGGCGGCCACAAAAAAACAGGACAAACTTTTTTTTGATATGACGGGTTTTAATAACCGATTCGGGACGGGACGGGACAGGAGTGAGATAAAGACTCGATAATTAATTATCAAATGGATATGAATATTTWATTTAATTAATTAATTAATTTAAAACTAAATAATAATTATAAATAATAGTTTATTATAATTATCATATTAATATATGTTCTAAATTATTTTTTAAAAATTATTTAAATATTTTATTTTAAAAATATTTATTTATTWATTTTTTTACATAGATTATATATTTTTAAAAATGTTTTGTTTTGGTAATTAGTTAGTTATTTTAATCTAAGTTTATTAAAATTATAATTTATTTTATTATATTATTTTGTATTGTATTGTTTTGTTATTTTCTTGTTATTGAATGAAAATATGGTTCAATTAAACACATTTTTATATTTGTTAAAAAATATTAATGTTTTTTTTATAATAAATTTTATACTTATTAATTGACTTATCTATGGGTAAAAAAAAGTACCAGGGTTATGATTTAATATCAATTGATATGAATTGATATTACTTACAAAACTAATAACTTATATACAATATAATAGTTATTAAATAATTATTAAATAAAAATATTGTTTTATAGATTTATAGTTAATAAGCAATATATATTTATTTATTTAAATAATTTACATAGTTTACTTTTTAATCATTTATAAAATTATTTATTTTTAAAAAAATGTTATTTAGATTTAATTTATTAAATTATTTTTGTTATTACCAAAAATATTTTAGATTATTATATTTGAATTAATAAAAAATTGAAATTATAGATAATAACAATAATTTATAATAGATTTAATATAATTTATTTTATTTAAATGTTATAAATTATGTCAATAGATAGCTATATTATATCACATAACTAATTGTAAATAGTATTATATTGTTTTAATAATATTCAAAATACTGTATATTACTTATAATTATTATATATTTTAAATTGAAAATTTAAGAAACTTAAGTTTATTTTTTAAATAATAGTCTAATATATTTTTTAAAAATAATAAAGTACGCATGTATGTTAATATAAAAACTAAACTAAATATTATATATGTTATTAATTTATGAAAACTTATTTTTTAAATTTATAATTAATATAATAATAACTTTTATTTAATTCAATTTTTTTAAAAAAAGTTTTCTTTACTAAAACTATTTAATACAAAAAACAATGTTTAAATTACACAAATATAATAATATTTTTATTACATTGTTAGGTAAACTTTTTTGTTGTTGTTAATTAAAATATTATATTATTTAAATATATATATATATATTGTTAATTTTTTTGAATAATTATATTATTATTTCCTCTATATATATATATATATATATATAGTAATTACAATATTAATCAATGGGATTAGCAATGCTTTTCATCCTATAWACGGCAAGTTGAATGATTATAGCGGCATAATTGGCGGCAATGCTAACATTGCTGGTATTGGTGGCATTGCTGCTTTTAAACATGGCAACAACAATCACAATGATGATAATGCTGATAATAATGATAATAATGATAATGCTAATAATCATGATAAAGCTGTTAATGATAATGCTGATAATGAGCAGTAATAGGGGGGGGGCCATCATAAAAATGTTTATTTAAAAAAACAGTTAAAAACTAATAAAAATTATTTATTTATTAACTATTTAATATATGGTATACATATATACATAATATATCTATATGGTATATATACATAATATATTTATATAGTATATATATATACATAATATATCTATATGGTATATATACATAATATATTTATATAGTATATTTATAGTATAGTATATTTTTCAATAATAAAATGTTTCAATAATATATATGTTTTAATTTTTTTGGTTATATTTTTATTAGATTTTTGTTATATATATTTTTTTGAATGTTATAAATATTTTTAGTTTAATATTAATAGCATCATAAATATTTATTTATTGTACAATACAATTAAATAAAACTAATAATAAATATATTTTATAGTTAATTTTGACTATTATTTCTAGTAATGCTTGTATTTTTTTAGRAAATATTAAATATCTATTTTTTTAAAAAAACATTTGTTTTTTATATACAGGTATATGTAATTTATTTTATATGAATTTAATATTTAATTAAATAATTTTTAAAAAATGAAAGTTAATTTATTAATTAATTAAATAAAAAAAATGAAAGTTAATTAATTAATTAATTAACTAATTAATAAAATGAAATCTATTTAATTAAATAATCAAAAAATGAAAGCCATATAATTAAAAATTTTTGTTTTTCAATAATATTTAAAATGTAATTKAATTTTAAATATTTTTATATATAGTTAGCCACTAAAACAACAATATATAAAATATGTCTAAATTTAACACAAATTTTCAAAACAATATTTCATTTATAATACAATATATAAATATCTAAATTTAATTAATTGTTATTTTTTTTGCAAAAATGGCAGTACTTTAATAATTATAATTAACTTTTGATTTAAAAATTTTTTTTTAATATAAAAACATATTTTTAAAAAATTCAATGAAATTAATATCATTTAACTTATGACGACTTGAAAGTCAAGAGATGAGCAAATAGAAAATTTCTAATAAATTTCCTATTGAGAAAGTTTCTAGAAAATTTCTATTGAAATTTCTATTTTTTGTGTTATACAATGGGATCCCTATATCTATAGCCATTATAATACTGTATTAATGAGATATATTAATAATAATATACATATAATATTTTACTACATTTACAACACTACTATACAAAATGGGATACATATATATATATATATATATATATATATATATCGTATATAAAATAATTATAATAATAATTAATTTTTGTAAAATATTATTCATTTTAATTTATTATATATATATAATATATCATAGTTTAATATAATTTAATTATTTATTTATTTATTTTTTTACTTTAATTAATACTTAAAATACTACTAATAATAATATTTTAGTTATTAATTGTAAAAACAATAAATTGTTACAAATATTATAACAATTATATCGAGAAAACAAAATTCACAAAAAATTTCTYTATTAAGAAACTTTCTAGAAATTTCTCTATTATTTTTTAATAAATTTCTCATTTTTTTCTGCCAACACTACTTGAGTCGTCCATTAGATCTATAGTTTTTTAGTAGTATTTTAATCAAAAAAAAAACTTATATTAAATCTAAGTTTTAATATTATATCAATCATTTAACTTATTATTTTTTTTATAGTTAATAGTATAGTTTGTATAGTTAATTGATTGTTATATATATATAGAGTTAGACTAATTGAACAACAATTAATTTACTATTAAATACAATAAATTAATAGACATTAACAACAATAATAACAACAATTATGTCTAAATTTATAATATTTAGTATTATAACTATTCTAACATTGTTTGGTATTTAAAAAACTTTTTAAATATTTATTTTTTATAATTAGTATTATTCTAATTCTCTATCTTCTCTATTAATAATAATATTTCTAATTATTATTAATTAATKTTTTGTTTGTTTATTAGTTATCAACGGTGAAAGTCTGGATGGATCTGGAAATTTGAATAATAATAATAATAATAATTATAATAATAATAATATCGTTAGTTTTAATAATAACGCTAATCCTATTCCTAATAATATCGGTAATCCTAATCCTAATAATAACGTTAATAATAACAATTACGATGAATCCGATGATAATATTAGAGACTTGGAGGTAGAGTTGGCCAACAAATTCAAAAGAGTAGTCAAACTGTTGTCGGAAATCCTTAAACTTAATGGACAACAACAACAACAACAACAAAATGGCGTCAATAAAGATAAAAAACTAAAATTAGCTCTAGTAAGTGGTCTACTTGGTGGTGGTGGCGGTGGTGGAGGTCTACTTAGTGGTGTACTTGGTGGTGGTGGTGGAGGTGGCAAAGGCGGTAGTAAACTACCGGTTGTCGGCGGTGTAGTCGATACACTGGTCGACAATGTTGTCGTACCGGTTGGCAATGTACTGAACGGTGTCGCCAGAACTCTGGGCAATTCAGATGCTGGTAAACCAGCTCAAGTCAACGGTAGTTATCCACCTAATGCTTACGGTTATCCTCCTTATGCTGGCGGTTATCCACCCAATGCTGCTGGTTATCCACCTAATGCTGGTGGCTATGGTTATCCTCCATATGGTGCCGGTTATCCACCCAATGTTGGCGGTTATCCACCTAATGCTGGTGCCGGTGGTTATCCTCCATATGGTGGCGGTTATCCACCCAATGCTGGCGGTTATCCACCAAATGCTGGTGCCGGTGGTTATCCTGGTCCTTATAATACAGGCTAATAATAATATAAATAATAAATCCAAAATTAAATAGCTTATGATGAATATTGATGTAAAAACTAATGTTAATTAATGATAATAAAAATTAATTAATAAATTTACTTTTATTATATTTAAGCATCATAAAAAATTAATTATTTATTTATTTATAAATAAATTATATCTATAATAAAATATGCTTTTTAATGTAGTGTACGGGGACAAATACAGTACAATATCATTAATTTAAAAAAGTTTTTTTTATATTGTAATTGTTTTTTTTTTAGTTTTTATTTATTTTATTCAGAATTTTTGTTTATTCTAAAATTTTTTGTTAAAAATTAATATTATTTGAGAGAAAATATTTTGAGAGTAGGGAATAATTTTTATATTTTAAGTGAGTTATTGGGGAAATTTATAGATGAATTTATAGAGGAATTTATAGATGAATTTATAGGGAATTTATAGGGAATTTATAGGGAATTTATAGGGAATTTATAGGGAATTTATGGGGAATTTATAAGGAATTTATAGGGAATTTATAGGGAATTTACTAATTTTTTTGGTAAAAATTGGTCGTTTAAAAATACAATAAAAAATTTCAAAAAATTTATAACCCTGATAAAAATATTTAAAGTATTTATATTGACAATTATTTCTAGTATATGATAAAATAATAGTTGTATTGTTTTAGAAAAAAAATAAATATTAAATATTTATAGATAAAAACATTTGCTTTTTTCTATATCTCTGATATTTAATTAAATAATATTTATTAAAAAATGAAAGCTTTTTAATTAATTTTTTTTTGTTTTTACACTAATATTTAAACTATTTATTTTATTTAAAATATTTTTATATAGACTTAGCCAATAAACATCAATAACTTTTTTTTTTAAATAAAAATATGTCTAAATTTAGTACATTTTTTCATAACAATATCATAAATATAATACAATATATAAATATCTAAATTTAATTATATTTTATTTATTTTTTTGCATAAAATGGCAGTACTTTAAGTAATTAATTAACTTTTGATATTAAAAAAAAGTATTTCTAAAAAAAATATTTCTAAAAAAAAAACATTTGAAATTAATAATAAAATTTTTTTATGACGACTTTAGACGTCCATTAGATTTATATTTTTAATCAAAAATAAATATATATTAAATTTAATACTATTTCTATCATTTAATTTTTATTTATGTGTATATTTAGTTATGTTATATACAGTTATATAACATATTTTATTTATTTTTTAAAAAATTATAGACAATAAAAAAATTATGTCTAAGTTTAGAATTTTTAGTTTTCTAACTATTGTTCTAACATTGTTTGGTATAAAAATATTTTTTAATTATTATTATTATTCTACTTATTATTAATTTATTTAATTATAAAATTTTATTTTTTAATTATTTTTTCTAAAAATTTAAATTTTACTTTTAGTTATTACAATCAATTGTAACGATTCAAGTCTAGATAATTCT